GCCGTTCTTGTCGAGCAGTTCGCTGATGTATTTCCTTGCTTGCTCGGTTCCTCGCCAGTTGTTGTGGCGCTTTGAGGTCGACGCCGTCGGCGCATGATAAGAAGAAGTTCTCGAACACGGGTATGAAGTCGTCCTGCGACTCCTCCTTGTCGAGCTCGAATACTGCGTGTCGAACGGACACGATGACCAGGATGCGCACCGTTCTCAGGCTGGTCGAGTAGTACTGCGACTGAAGCTGCTCCAACGGTTCGAGCGCGTAGACCTCGCTATAGTCGGCGGCGCAGGCGAATTTGCCCCGTGGGAACGTCCGTGCCCTTCCAGGTGCGATCTTTAGTAAAGTGGCGCTCGATCCACTTGGCGCCGAGCGTGTAGGCGGCAACATCGATGGCGATGCCGAGGTGGCTGCCGCTGAAGGCCAATTCTTTGGCGCGGTCGCCGTAGCGCTCGTACATGTTCTGGCTCTATCGGCCAGTTTCGATCTCGAGCTCGAGCAAACTGGTGGTTTTGGCGCTCGATCATAAAATTTAGACCTTGTGGAGGTCGTGGCTGAGAAGCACCCCAGCTGCCGATCGGCCAGGACGGGTGGTTCATAGGCTCCATTGACCCCATGTTGCAGCTGCTTTGACCACTCATTTACAGCAAGTCGCGACTCTGGTTAGGTGTGCTACGGCTGTCGTACAATAGTAGCGCTTTTCGCTGCATACCCCTGCACTTAAAAGCTCGAGCCGTCATGTCCGCGATTAAATCCCCAGCTCGCGAAGCTACGATCAAATCCTTCCGAGCCAGGTCCATCAAGGTGCAGTGGATCGGCGACGCGCCTCAGGTTGAGCGCCTGAGGGAGATTTTTGGGTTTTTCGGGATAGTTTCAACCGTCCGGGTCAAGGAACGCACAGCACTTGTTCTTTACAAGGAAGCGGTGAGTGTGGAAACCGCGCTCCGTGATTACCGTGGACCTTTGAACGTGTCTGCCATCATCGATGGACCAGTATCTCGTCCAGGTTCTCGATCTAGCTCACGGCCGAGCACACCCACAACTGGTGCCAATAAGGACGTCTTCGAGGTTGGAAACCCTAGACCCAATCAGTCTGTCCGTGATGATCGCACAGGACACTGTTCGCAGCGCCAGCACACAGCTCCAACAACAGCACGTGAGAACACGACAGTATCAGAGCTGTCTTCCTTATCGGTAGTATTGACACCTGATCACGGTATGGTAACTCACCCTATTCAACGCCAAGGCAGTCCCCCGACCAACCAGCAGCAACAAGGCAGTCCCCCGAAAAACCAACAGCAGCGCGTGGTGCTGCGGCTAAAACCACCAGACCCCCATCGTACCCCTGAGACGCATTGCGATTCAGACTATGCTGCGTTCTGTGAAAGTTCTGATAAGGAAGCATGCAGCAAGCAACGTGCATTTTGCCCACCCGGGGGTCTGGAAACAGAACCATTCAGTACAAATGGCCATCCAGGTCAGCATGCAAATGGCGAAGCTAACCTCGAGTCAATGCGTGGGAATTCAACAATCTTGGCGAGCGAAGCTTCTTTCGATAAAATCGTTCGATCCCCCAGCAATGAAAGAAAGATGGCAAGACCCGAAGTGGACGGTAAACCGCATCTAACTATTCCGTGTACTATGCAAGCGAGTTCACGTGAAACACTTTCCCCGAAACCTCAAGCTCTTGTGAACGTAGAGCGTAGTTCGTCAAGAAACTCGCTAAAGGAACCTTGTTTCGGGAGAGCATCATTCTGTCAAACCGGTAGACCGGAAAGCGAGTTCGGCCAAGCCGGCAGGTCCGAGCAGGGGCCTTTCAGCGGAGCGGAGTTTGGCCAAGCGGGCGGGTCCGAGCGGGAGAAGCATTCGAGCGGAGCGCCGTTTGGCCAAGCCAGTGGGTCAGAGCAGGAGCCTTTCAGTGGAGCGCAATTTGGCCAAGCGGGTGGGCCCGAGCAGGAGCAGCCTTTGAGCGGAGCGCCGTTCGGGCAAGCCGGCGGGTCCGAGCAGGCGGCTTTCAGCGGAGCGCCGATCGAGCAAGCCGGCGGGTCCGAGCAGGCGGCTTTCAGTGGAGCGCCGTTCGGGCAAGCCGGTGGCTCAGAGCAGGAGGCCTTCAGCGGAGCGCCGTTCGGGCAAGCGGGCGGGTCCGAGCAGGCGGCATTTAGTGGAGCGTCGTTCGGGCAAGCGGGCGGGTCCGAGCAGGTGGCCTTCAGCGGAGCGCCGTTCGGGCAGGCCGGTGGCTCAGAGCAGGAGGCCTTCAGCGGAGCGCCGTTCGGGCAAGCGGGCGGGTCCGAGCAGGAGGCCTTCAGCGGAGCGTCGTTCGGGCAAGCGGGCGGGTCCGAGCAGGTGGCCTTCAGCGGAGCGCCGTTCGGGCAGGCCGGTGGCTCAGAGCAGGAGGCCTTCAGCGGAGCGCCGTTCGGGCAAGCGGGCGGGTCCGAGCAGGAGGCCTTCAGCGGAGCGCCGTTCGGGCAAGCGGGCGGGTCCGAGCAGGAGGCCTTCAGCGGAGCGCCGTTCGGGCAAGCCGGTGGCTCAGAGCAGGAGGCCTTCAGCGGAGCGCCGTTCGGGCAAGCTGGCGGGTCCGAGCAGGTGGCATTTAGTGGAGCGTCGTTCGGGCAAGCCGGTGGCTCAGAGAAGGAAGCCTTCAGCGGAGCGCCGTTCGGGCAGGCCGGCGGGTCCGAGCAGGAGGCCTCCAGCGGAGCGCCGTTCGGGCAAGCCGGTGGCTCATATCAGGATCAGCGTTTGAGCGGAGCGCCGTCTGGCCAAGCGGGTGGGTCCGAGCAGGTGGCATTTAGTGGAGTGCCGTTCGGGCAAGCCGGTGGCTCAGAGCAGGAGGCCTTTAGCGGAGCGCCGTTCGGGCAAGCGGGCGGGTCCGAGCAGGAGGCCTTCAGCGGAGCGCCGTTCGGGCAAGCCGGTGGCTCAGAGCAGGAGGCCTTCAGCGGAGCGCCGTTCGGGCAAGCTGGCGGGTCCGAGCAGGTGGCATTTAGTGGAGCGTCGTTCGGGCAAGCCGGTGGCTCAGAGAAGGAAGCCTTCAGCGGAGCGCCGTTCGGGCAGGCCGGCGGGTCCGAGCAGGAGGCCTCCAGCGGAGCGTCGTTCGGGCAAGCCGGTGGCTCAGAGCAGGATCAGCGTTTGAGCGGAGCGCCGTCTGGCCAAGCGGGTGGGTCCGAGCAGGTGGCATTTAGTGGAGTGCCGTTCGAGCAAGCCGGTGGCTCAGAGCAGGAGGCCTTCAGCGGAGCGCCGTTCGGGCAAGCGGGCGGGTCCGAGCAGGAGGCCTTCAGCGGAGCGCCGTTCGGGCAAGCCGGTGGCTCAGAGCAGGTGGCCTTCAGCGGAGCGCCGTTCGGGCAAGCCGGCGGCTCAGAGCAGGAGGCCTTCAGCGGAGCGCCGTTCGGGCAAGCCGGTGGCTCAGAGAAGGAAGCCTTCAGCGGAGCGCCGTTCGGGCAGGCCGGCGGGTCCGAGCAGGAGGCCTCCAGCGGAGCGCCGTTCGGGCAAGCCGGTGGCTCATATCAGGATCAGCGTTTGAGCGGAGCGCCGTCTGGCCAAGCGGGTGGGTCCGAGCAGGTGGCATTTAGTGGAGTGCCGTTCGAGCAAGCCGGTGGCTCAGAGCAGGAGGCCTTCAGCGGAGCGCCGTTCGGGCAAGCGGGCGGGTCCGAGCAGGAGGCCTTCAGCGGAGCGCCGTTCGGGCAAGCCGGTGGCTCAGAGCAGGAGGCCTTCAGCGGAGCGCCGTTCGGGCAAGCTGGCGGGTCCGAGCAGGAGGCCTTCAGCGGAGCGCCGTTCGGGCAAGCCGGTGGCTCAGAGAAGGAAGCCTTCAGCGGAGCGCCGTTCGGGCAGGCCGGCGGGTCCGAGCAGGAGGCCTCCAGCGGAGCGCCGTTCGGGCAAGCCGGTGGCTCAGAGCAGGATCAGCGTTTGAGCGGAGCGCCGTCTGGCCAAGCGGGTGGGTCCGAGCAGGTGGCATTTAGTGGAGTGCCGTTCGGGCAAGCCGGTGGCTCAGAGCAGGAGGCCTTTAGCGGAGCGCCGTTCGGGCAAGCGGGCGGGTCCGAGCAGGAGGCCTTCAGCGGAGCGCCGTTCGGGCAAGCGGGCGGGTCCGAGCAGGAGGCCTTCAGCGGAGCGCCGTTCGGGCAAGCGGGCGGGTCCGAGCAGGAGGCCTTCAGCGGAGCGCCGTTCGGGCAGGCCTGCGGGTCCGAGCAGGAGGCCTCCAGCGGAGCGTCGTTCGGGCAAGCCGGTGGCTCAGAGCAGGATCAGCGTTTGAGCGGAGCGCCGTCTGGCCAAGCGGGTGGGTCCGAGCAGGTGGCATTTAGTGGAGTGCCGTTCGGGCAGGCCGGTGGCTCAGAGCAGGAGGCCTTCAGCGGAGCGCCGTTCGGGCAAGCGGGCGGGTCCGAGCAGGAGGCCTTCAGCGGAGCGCCGTTCGGCCAAGCGGGCGGGTCCGAGCAGGAGGCCTTCAGCGGAGCGCCGTTCGGCCAAGCGGGCGGGTCCGAGCAGGAGGCCTTCAGCGGAGCGCTGTTCGGGCAAGCCGGTGGCTCAGAGCAGGAGGCCTTCAGCGGAGCGCCGTTCGGCCAAGCGGGTGGGTCCGAGCAGGTGGCCTTCAGCGGAGCGTCGTTCGGGCAAGCCGGTGGCTCAGAGAAGGATGCCTTCAGCGGAGCGCCGTTCGGGCAAGCGGACGGGTCCGAGCAGGAGGCCTCCAGCGGAGCGCCGTTCGGGCAAGCCGGTGGCTCATATCAGGATCAGCGTTTGAGCGGAGCGCCGTCTGGCCAAGCCGGCGGCTCAGAGCAGGAGCAGCGTTTGAGCGGAGCGCCGTTCGGCCAAGTCGGTGGGTCAGAGCAGGCGTCTTTCAGTGGCGCGCCGTTTGGCCAGGCTGGGGCGAATGGCGAGTTTGGGCTGGCGGTTGGGTCCGAGGGGGCGCCTGTCAGCGGGGATCCGTTCGGTCAAGCTGGCGAGTCAGAGGTTGCCCCTTTCAGCGGAGCGTCATTTGGTAAAGACGGAGTCGCGAGAGGCCAACTCGGGCGGTCTGTGACATCCCAGGAGCATTACTTCGTGGATCCTTCGATCATATCGCAATGTGGACAGGAGCCACTACGATCCGACGATCTTATCGAAAGAGTCTCTGACTCTGACTCTGCTCTTTTTGCCGACGGATTTGATTCTCAGCATGTGACATCATTCAATGCGCGGCTGGACCGCTGGTTGAAGCCGCGCTGTGCAAGCATTTCCTTCGGCTTTGGGGGCCGAAGTGCGACCGTGGGGTCGCATCTTCGCCTAGTTGCTCCGTTCTTTTCGACAGCTGGTTTTGATTGTGATTCTGGAGCATCCAAGTATAAACGCCCAGTATTGCTAGGTCGATTACAAAATCTTGACACTGAGGAAATTCTGCTTATGGGTGGATCGTGCGCTGAAAGCAGTGCGACACTCCCTTACCCATTGCTCTCAGCCAGGGGCTTCGTCTCCCTTCCAAGCGGCCAAGACTGGCGAGGCTTCGCAGCCAAGTGTGTTGAATTCTCTGAATGCAGTTTAAATAATCAAAATTCTTTGCTCTTGGGTCGAACAAAAACTTGTACCGTGTTGTGGGCATCAATACACGCTCTCCTTGTTGCCTTGCTTAAGGATCAAACGCTCGTGGCTCGAATTGATCCTAAGGGAAAGGACAAGCACGATTTAAATACGGATCATTACGCTCGTGTGCGTCTTCTTCTTCTTAACATGGCTGCTCCGGACCTGAGTTCAGCACGCAAGGCGCCCGTCCCATCGATGGTTTACAACAGCTCATCCCTTGAGTCACTCCACTCCACATCATTTACAGCTGTCGGCGAGATCGAGTCACTCCTTGCCGAGGGCAACGCGATGGAGGCGATCAATCTTGCAATCGATGGCAGATCCTGGGCCCTTGCCCTAGCGCTTGCTGATGCAATTGATGATCGAGGCACCGTGCGTGAGTCCGTACTTCGACGATTTTTGGACTTTGAAGTTGAGCCTTGGTCAGCGACGCACACCTGCCTCAGAATTATCGCCTCATCAACAGAATGCCCATCGGCTCGGAACCTCTCAAGGAGACGCGTACTCTATGACAGCGCTGACGCGCCCCCCGGCGACGAGCTTCGGAAGAGGAAGCTAGGTGAGCGTTGGTGCACAGTCCTCGCAACAGCTCTGGCCTATGCGAGCGTTCTGCCTAGGAAGACTTCCAACGTGATTGGGGAGTTGGGTGATGAGCTTAGCACTGAATTTGGCGCGTTGGGTGCTTGCGCTGCCCACCTTGCTTACATGCTTGCTGGTGAGCAACCATTCAGGTCACCGACGCCAATGAATCGGGTCGCTCTTCTGGGTTGGTGTCATGCTGATAGCACACAGCGAGCCTCTTTTGCGCATATTATCTCTGCGATGCGCAGGACAGAAGTTCTCGACTTTGCCTTGGGGCTCCGAGGTGGACTAACAAATCACAATGCTGGCCGTTTTCGGCTTTTACACGCTGAGTTTCTTTGTGATGTTGGCCAGTTCAACCCCGCCTGGGCAATCTGTGGCGCCATTCGCGCAGCAAGCACAGCCAACGGGACCTGCTCGCATCAGGGTTCCACTAGCGTTGACGGACGAAACCAGGTCGCACAATCTTCTCCCATTGCAACTTCATGCCGCTCTCTCCTCAATGCTCTGGCCGTCCTCGAAGACCGCATTGTTGGTCATGGAGCTATTGAGTCACAGCAACCTCATAAAGCTGAAACCCCGAGCAGTCTAAGCAATTCTGTCCTAGGGAAGATAGGTTCATGGGCGGGTGATACACTCACCGCTCTAACGGCATGTGAGGACTCTACTAAAGTAACCCAGAAAGGCATGTCTTGTAAGGATGTCACGAGCCCACAAAACCCTAACTTTTCCCGCGCGCAAGGCGACAGCATTCGGAGTGTCCCTATGCTCGATGCTACTCCTGTTGTCACCCCTAAGATCTCCCAGCCCAATTGCTCTCACTCTAAGTCTCACGAGCCTACATGTCAGAGGTCGCTTCTGTTAGACCGCGATGCAGGTCATCTAAGCGAAGCTGCTATTTTAGACCGACAATTGCCAACAGTGATCTCTGGGTCTGGGATGGTACAATCATCGTCGACCGAGGACCAGCATTCGTCAGAATCAACTGAAACGCAGCAAACGGCGGACTTCAGCCAGCATCACACGAGAACAGGTACAAGGAATGGTTCTCATCAGCTCTTCCCACAGAAAGCACCTGAGAAAATGCCATGCTCCGCGCGACCCGCGACATCCAAGTGCTTGCAATCGTCCTCAGTATCATCCACGAGTCAGCAAACACAAGTACCCACTCCCGACGTCGAGCCGGATGCTTTTAGTACCAAGGCTGTACCGCAGGAGATGATGGTTGACGGTAAACCACCATCGGCCCTGGAGGGCTCAGTGCAAGGGCCGAACGTGGGGACACGGAAAAAGAACAAGGTACCTAGCAAGGATGCGTCTCTCGATGCCAAGCCAGGCTGGTTTCGTCGAAAAATTGCATCTGTTCTTTACCCCGATGCAAAGCAGGTAAGCCTCGATGACACATCGGCCAAAATGGAGGCATATTACGACAAGACTCTCAAGCGCTGGGTCTTCCCAGATGCAGATGGCAATGTAACAGATCCCAGAATCGAAGGGCCGCCAGCAGGACCCCCCAAAGTTCCGCCAACAATTGCGGCACTATCCTCCGAAGTTAATGAGCTGAAGATCTCTCAAACAGCTGTGGTGGCACTGCCCAGGCGTTCTAGTTCCAGCCCTGCAATGTCCGTCGATCCGCTCGCTGCCATGATGGCCCCTCCCCCAATGCGATCAATGCCAAACCCAGCGGCGCGGAAGTCTGGCGACGCCATGACTATTTGCGCACCGAAAATATCCCACTCCGTCCCTAGTTTTGCGACTTTTGCCATGAAGCCTGTTGACCCGCCACCTGAGATTTAGACTTCAGTGCATTCTATCCATGAACTTTAGCCTTCGTGCGAATTCCAATCGCAGGTCACGTTAGTTGCAGCCCCTGCCACGTGCCGTAGAGCAAAGGCCCACGGGAAGTTCGGCGGCCGCGGGGCTTACTGGAATAAAGTGGAGGCTTATAACCCGCGGGAAATATGACGCGGCCTAGTTTGGGACCCACCTGGACACGGGAAACCCAACGAAGCTGAGTTTGCGACTTGGCCCTCCCCTTAGTCGCCCTTAAGAGCCTCGCGCCTGGCGCTACCTCTGTCCAGGGAGCCCGTAGGGTCCGTGGGGCGGCGGCGGGTGCGAAGCGGGGTTGAGTGGGGCCTCTTCCGGGCCGCCGCGCGGCCGGTCGCGGCGGCTCATACTGAGCCTACTGAGCCGACTCAGTCTCAGTATGGGGGGCGGCTGCGGATCGCTGGATTTCCCGGGGATGATCGAGACAACAATCACACTTAGCCTACCCTGGGAGGCGTGGTGGACGGAGGCGTCCATATTCGGGGTCACAGTGGCTGGGGCTGCCGTTTGGGGTGGTTGTCGGGGGCGGGCCCCGGGGGCCGCGGTCGTACTCAGGTCGAACTGAGTCGGGACTGAGTAGTTCCAGTCAGGGTCGTCGTCGGCGGGGCGTTCAGCCTATGCCGTGGTCTTCGCATTTCTCGAGGGCGTAGAGTCGCTCCTGTTCGGTTCCACGCCATGATGTTAGGATACGTATCTGGATTTCCATGACGTTGCTCCTTTTCTTTCTTACTCACTTAACTCCAGCGATTGAGGACAGAGAGCCCCGATCCGAGATTAGTTTACCTGCTTGAGTAGGTAGTCTACTAACTAATTACTACCATACCCTAGTCAGGAGTCAGGCTGAGGGTAAAATACCTCCATAGTAGTCGGGTAGTAGTAGAGTAGCGTACTGTACCGTTGTAGTATAGGCCCCTCCTCTCCCCCCTTGTACTTTATTTCTCCACGGTTCATACGGAATATTTCTCCAAGTCCAACGCGTTTGCTACTTTTAGGTCCTTTGATCGTTAAGTCCATTAGCAAGTCATTTAGGAATCTGACTCGCCGGGTCTCGCTAGTTAAACGCGTTTGTTCTGGTAGGTGGGGCCGGTCGTAATGCGGCATCTTGAAGGCCGCACGGGCTTCTTGCAGCGGGGCAACCTGCCCTCAAGGAGCCGTCCCCGGGCCTGCCTGGCGAAACCTTTTTAGTCGCCGACCTTTCAGGTCGCTGCCGATCTGACGAAACCGACCTTTCGAGTCGCCGTTCTTTTAGGTCGTGACGCGACCTTTCAGGAGACGCGGCGCGACCTGGTAGGTCCGAGGGGG